CAGTGTCTGGGAACTCCCCCCCACTTTTCTTCCCCCTTTTCTGAGGTTTTAAGGGATTAATACCAGAGAGGAGGATATTGGTTCCTTGGGTTGGCTGGCTGGCTAGGTATTAGGCCTGGCAGTTTTAAACAGGGTTGAAATCTGGGCGTTTCTAATCCTGCTACCTTTGGGCCGGGGTTGCGGTTTGCAACTTTCTATTCCCAGTGGAGCTGAGTGACCCAAACTACCTGCAGCCCCGGCCCAGAGCATAGGCCTGGCTTTTCCCCTTTGTTTCTTTTGATGGTCCTTTGCTCCAGTCAGGCTCTGTGATTGGGTCAGATGTAGCCAGTAATCAACCTGGCTGGCTCCCTTTTGAGTTTGTCCTGTAGTTTTCATTTCAGCAAGCCATCTTATCCTACCCAGAAGTTTTGGGGGTGCATGCTGGCTAGAGCCATAGTCACCCCCTTCACACACACACACACACACACGAAGATCGGCACTCTACCATTTCTCCAGGAGTAGCAGAGCTCCTTGCAACACAGAAGTACCTAAGGGGACAGGGGAAGTTAAGCCCCCACTGCAGGCTCCAATCCCTCCCCCCCATGCCAGGCAGCACCCAGCTGGGGGTCTGGTGCCAGGCCAGGTGGGTGTGTTTTCCCCCCTCACTACCTCCTCAGGCAGCTTGGAGGCCAAGCAAGTGAGCGTGGTTGAGGGACTCAAGCCTGGCTCCCAGCTCCAGGTGGGCAGGAGGAGTAAAGTCCCCACTGCAGGCTTCCCCCTTGCGTTCAGTAGTACTCGGCTAGGAGTCCAGTGCTGGGCCAGAGGGGGTGGGTTTTCCACCCTCCACCCTTTAGGCTGGCTGATGGTGGCAGGGGCAATGTACATAGGTGACATCATGGGCGGGGGCATAGAGGGGCAAATACCCCTTCCAGTTTTTTGCACTGACAGCAGCATGTGGGGCATGGGTCTAGAGCCTGGCAGGATGCGGTCAGCTCAGCTTCCCCATGGCTTGCTGCATAAGCTCAGTGGGGCCAGGCTCTTCCAGCTTTGGTACTGGGCCGGCTGGAAATGGTGCCTTCTGCGAGAGCGTGGCAGCTTCGCTCTGCCCCCACCTTCAGCCCTACAAAAGAGATGGCTGGGGACAGCTTGGGTTCTGGCTCCACATCCACAGAAGAAGAGGAGGAAAGCCCTATGTGAGGTCCTCTTGTGCCCGCCTCAGCCCCCACCCACCTTCCAGCAAGCTCCTGGTGTAGGTGACAAAACAAACTAGGGACAAGGGAGGAGATACGGCTGCTTTTCAGAGGTGGGTGGCAGGAGGCTCCCAGAGACTACCTTGTGGTTCCCCAATGAGCAAACTCACGCAACCCCAGGCACTGAAGCCAGCAGTGGTTGCAGCTGGGAGAGACCAAGACGTTTGCGTTTGAACTTTGCAGCTTCAGGCTTACCTAGGCAAACAAGTGAGCCCCCCAGCCAGCCCTGCTCCAGCTACTGTCAGCTCTGTCACTTTCATTAGTGCCAGACTTCTTCATTTATTTGATTACTTTCCCTCCCTCCCTCACATCCCTCACACCCTTCTCCAGTGCTTGCCCTGTACCCCCAGCCTCCATCTCTGAGTCAGTCCCAGTCACTGCTACCTTGCAGCTTGGCAATGCTCCTTGAGTGCCAGCTCCAATGTGCCTAAGTGTTTGCATGGGGACAGGAGGCAGAGGAGGTTGCCATGGCCAGGCTGGGCTGGGCTGGGCAGGGCAGGGAGGGTGTGGAAGGAGATAGTCCAGGGGGCTGGGATGAGCAGGAGAGAAACAGTAGCTACTGCCCCAGCTAGTTTGGTGTCTGAGAAGGGGTGTGGCTGGGGGACTCAAGCCCAGCTCCCAGCTCCAGGAGGTAGAGGAAGTAACGCCCCCACTATGGGCTTCCCTCCCTTGCGACCCAGCTGGGGGTCAGTGCCGGGCCAGGGGTTGTGTTCCCTCCCACACCCTTAACTCTAATACTACATCTGTACACTGTAGCTTTTGCTGATGCTGCAGTGTTCTCAGCCTCTGTGGTTAGGACTAAGACAGGACTCTGGAAACATATTTTCATCATCATTCTGCCTTGCCAAAATAAGACACGTTTTATTTGTGGGGCATGTGGCATGCAAGAAAATATGGCATATTCAAAGTTGGATACTTTATGGAAAAAACGTTAACTCATGGGTTGACAACCTAAATTATATGCCCCCCTGACAAAATACTTTTGCCTAAACTGAGGTCAATCAGGTATCAAAATGAACTTTTTCACTACATAATAAATGTTTTTGGTGCAATTTCCCCCCATGTTTTGAATGTGCTTTCCTTCATTTGAGAGTCAGAAAATAAGCCATGACTAATATTAAATAAATGTTCATTTTGAGAGCAAGCTTAACTTTTCCTGTTTTTGTGTTCAATTTTAATACCTATTTCTTTCTATTAAGTAGATGTTGCCAGTGTTGTCTTATAATTATGTATAGTCATAATACTCTTGATATGCTTTTACTGTAGTTACCTGAGGAAAAGCACATAGAGCCACGACATAATATATCATTTGTCATTTACAACACAAGTATTTTCAACAAACGATAAAGCAAACTATAACTAGTGCAAATATTTTGTTAATTGCCCAAAATATTGGGAACTTTTTTGTTAACACAATCATTTGGGATTCTGGACTCATTAAATTGCATAAAGAAAACCAAACTATTCTGTTTTCAAGTTGAGTGTCCAACTTTTGAGCCAGTGAAAATGGTCATTTGAAAAAAAAAATTCTTCTAACAAATCAATACATAATACTGATGCTTCTTAACAAACATTTGCTTAACATTACTCTGGCATTCAACACAGACTGCAACAGAGAAAGGGATCACCTTAATGTATTAGCTGAAAACTTTAGAGTCCCTAGTTTTGAACAGAAAGGATACCCACAGGTACAGCCCAGTCCATTTTACTGCAACTGTTTTGTAGGTGGAGTAAGTGAGGAGGAATGGTTAAACTTAAAGAATTTAGAAACGTTTTTAGGGTTTTAAAAACAGTGAAGGCTTTAAAACAGAGCCACTATGTTTTGTTTCCAGTTGCCTAGATGGTTACACTTCTGAGAATGTTACAAATCTAACAGCTGATCAAGAGGTATTATAACTGCATTTCTGTCCCATCTCCAATTTATAAGCTTTGCAGTGGTACCGTTCTTGACCTATGATGGCTACTATTAATGACTAACAAAACAAAAGGAAAAACAAACTTACGAACTATTCTTCAGTTACAAAACTGACACAGTCATGAGCTACCATGAATATTTGAGCATGCTGAAAATAGTCAAATAGCAAAAAGAATTGTTTTGCTTCAATCAGAGTAAATAATCTAACCCAATTTTCAGGGGCAGCATTCTCAGAAGTACTATCAAAGCAAAATAATATTGAAAAGCTTGGAAACCAAATGCAATAGCACCCCACAGCTTAAAATGCTTACCATTTACAGCAAGTACAATAGCAAAGAAAAAAACCACAAATGATTCAGGAATCATAAAATACCAAAGAATGGGCAAGAAAGCACAGACTCAAGCATGTCACTAATGAAGCATTTGCAGAGTCACAAAATGTCATATAGCACAGATGATCCAATCAGCAGCTGACCTGATAGGTGGAATTAGTTGGCAAGTGCTGCAGTAATTGGGCGATTGTGTAATTTCGTATACTAGCCAACTTAGCCTGATGTCTCCTTAATCGAATGAGAAGCAATGTTAGCTCTTCAGGCTGCAGGTATTTAGACACATTGTAAAGAGGAAATTAGCAGTCTTCAGGAAGAGTCACTGTAATTACATTCTTCACCTCAGCGCCCAGAAAGCATTTACTTGACATGACAATTATTCCATTAACTCTGCATTTGGTCAAACAAACAGCAAAAGATGAGGTTTTCCCAGGAAACTGTATTTTAGTAATAAGACAAGAACGTCAGAGACAATGCCTGCTCCTGCCCACACTGTTTCCATCAGCAAAATTCCCACTGACTGTACTGGGAGCTAAGTTTGGGTCTGGTTCACACTGAAGCTTAAGTTCAAATTACTGGGGTTTCAAATCGCAATTCATGAAAAAATAAGATGATTCAGGAACTAGAAAGGTTAAAGCGAGGGGAAAGAAAATGAATAACATTTCAACTTACCGACTTGCCGTGTAAACTGGGAGCACTTACAGTGTGGGTCATATAGCCCATAGCAGGCATGGATCGTCTATCAATATGTGCAGAACTCTGTAACGAGTGAAGAAGCCAGTCAAAATTGTGCATCTTGCCTCAGGTAGGAATTATGTTCCTTCAGTTACTGTACTTGACTGGCATTTGGGAGGTTTGGCTTACATACAGGGATTATTTGACAGTCTTCCAGTCAGATTTTGAAAAGTGTCTAACTCAGTGCAAGCTTTGACAATTATGAGGAATACAGATCCTATTATGATAAATAAAGACTACAAATAAACCACCAAGGATTTAGGAACTGACATACCAGATCAAACCTGGATGTATCTACACGTGCAATTAAGTTGTAGTTCACGCCATTTTTATTGCTCCTAGGTGCTAGGTTTACATGTGCACCCAGGACCACAGCATATTGAACTGGGTTGGAGCAGCCCCGGCTGGCAAGAGGGTTCCAGAGGGGTCAGCCTGCCAACCTGGGGCTGTTCCCACCTGGCTCAATGTGCTGCAGAGGGGCTGGCTGGGGCATGAGGGTGCCCCAGTGTGGGGCTAGCTGGCAGGGCAGCTTCCACACCGAACATGGGGGCTGCCCATGTTCAGTTAGCCCCTGATGCCATGCCAGCTAGCCCCACACTGAAGCACCCTTGTGCCCCAGCCAGCCCTGACAATATCTACATGCGCATTGTGGTGCACTAAATAGCACCGCTGCAGGATAGTCCATCAGTCCTAACTTGTGTCTACAAATACTAACTTATGACAGAGTTAATTAGTTTCCTGTGGTCAAACAGGGCCACATGTGTAGATGCTTAGACTTTACTGTGGAGTAATTAGGCAATTCTTCGGTAAACATCTAATGTAGATGCGCCTCCTGTGAACATATTTAGTACATCTCTCAAGCAGTGACCAGTATGACATACTATAGAGAAAGGTACAAAAAACACTTTCACTTTGCCTGCCTTTCACTTTGATTAGCTGCCTTTCACTTGGTACTGCTTTCACTTTGATTAGCTCCTGGGAGTGCTCTGCTCTGTCCTTCTCAGAGACCTAAAATGGTGGCCAGGGAGTGAGACCAGTTAGCAAATGTTTCTTGAAAACTTGGACTGGAATCTCTGATCAAAGGGCCCAAAAAGAGAGGGACTAACTAGCAAACCACAGCTTCCTTCTGAAGGAAGAGCTTCAGACAAATTATTTAACTTTCTCAGTTTGAGTTGGTAAGGAGCATGTTGCCTGGGGTCACATCTATATTTGAGGCAGTGGTGACATGTAGAAGGTGCACATGCATCGCCGGTGCACCCCCATTCAGGCTGTGCTTCCTGTTTAGCAGGCAGGCGCACCAGTGACCCTCCGTGAGCACCGGCTGGGGAGCAGGGCGCCAGCAAAAGCCGTGCCGCTTTCTGGTGAGTGAGATCGCCGCCCCCCCCAACCCCAAACTCAAGAGGCACCAGTCACCCACGATTCAAGGCGGAATGGGTGCCTATACATGAGTGCATATGCGCTGTACTTACAGCACATCAGAGCAGACTCAGTTAATCAAGTCTGCTGGAGCTTGGTAATTACCATACTCCAGCCAGCCTCTGTCTCCTGTATCAGTGTCCATGCACTTCAAAACGGTGACATCGAATGAGTTTTAGTTTAAGTGCCCTCACTGTCATTTTGAAGAGCAGGGATGCAGATACATGAGACACTGCAGTGCTTTAATTAGAGCAGCTCTCAGAGCCACCCTAATAAAAGCATCACCCCCAACCCCCCACGAATGTGTAAAAGTGCCCCAAAAGTCCCTGTCATTAAGCTGCATCCAAGTTTCACCTTAGGTACAGATTTTGAACCCTGCAGATTTAGTGGCTGCCATGTTGCTGGTGCCTTTTCATGTGGGTGAGAGAGATCTAGCCTAAACAAACTTATCATGCAAAGGGCTTACTTTTGTTTTAGCCAACAGACAATAACAATGTGAACTAATAGCTCACTAAGTACCAAAGCTAACTGCACTAGCAATGTGTGCAGAAGAGGTGGATGCTGCAAGGGTTCCATCATGGGTAAGAAAATGTTGGTTGGGTAGGTCTGCCTTAAACCAATGCCCTTAGTATTGGGGTGTGAGGTCATTTAGGTGACAGGCACTCCTAGTCACAAAAATGTGATGTTAAAGGCCTTGGGGAAATATGCACCTACAGTAGAACCTAGGCAGACAAAGAATAACTTCCTTGTTACTCTAGATGTGCTAGCTTGAATTTTTTTCTACAAACATATATATTAATGTTAGAAGAGAGAACTAATGGATAATTTGTTTCACCAAAAAATAAACTTGTATTTATCTGTTTAATAAGTAGGAAATATCATTGAAATGTAAATGGAAAAGATATATAAGAAACATTATTTAAAGTAATATATCATTTCCCCATTAATCTACTATGAGAACATCCAGTACATATGTGAGGGCAGATACCCATGTCCTATTTATTGTATGCATATATAAACATCTGTATTAAAGAAATATTACTGCATTTTAAAATAAGACATTCCATTAAAGCTGCGGAGTAAGAACATACCAAATTGACTTGGTCTGCCTTTCTAGAACCACCCAATTATTCTTTGCAAAACAACAAAAATTAATAAATCTGAGATGAAAGGAAGAAAATATGGCTCTGGAGCAAAAAATATTGTACATTATTGTGTTTACTTTTAGTGCTTGTATGATACTCTATTGCCAGGGTTAGGAGTACAGATAAAATGCCTACACTAGTTAGATAAATTAAGGTTTGAATTTTTAATATGTACATCGTAATTTAAGTTATATAAGATATATATACCTTCACAGCATGATTATGGATCTTCCTTGGTGAGCAGGCAAAAGGAATGTCTACAGTCTGTCTCTCATCAGACGGTTTAACTGTAACCCTTTCTGCAGGAGTATGTGGTCTCCTTAGTGGAAAATTTTTTGGTGGTCCTGGTGGAGGAATATCTGATGGAGATGGAGGGACAGAAATTGATCGTGGAACATCTAGGGAACTTTTTGATTTACTGCGGTCAGTAAAGTCTGAAGAACCTCCATAAATTGGGGCAGTAGGACTGCCATGTTTAAACTGCTGTCTCTGTTGCCACTCATATAGCTGCCATACAGTACCATCCTTGTTAGCTTTCCTCTCCTCCTGGGACATCTTCAAGTGGCTAACCCGGTCCTGGGCATATTTGTAGTCACTTGGCAAATCACGATTTGGTGGAGGAGAGCTCCCTGAAGGCTGCCTGGTATTCTTTGGCAAGGTATGATAATTTTCAGGAAAGGACACAGATTGACTGGGACCTTGACGAGTAAGAGTCTGATCAGAAGCATGACTGTATGGGGAAAAAAAAGATACTGCTTTAAAGAAATGAGCATTTATCAAGAGAACTGGTCAAAGGAAACATATTCCTCTTTCTAATTCACTTTACCTAAGGATCCTTTTAGTAGTGATTATGTAACTATGCAAAGAAAAGGAAGGTGCTCTTGAAGCCTGCCCCACATGAACAAATTCACTACTCACACACTAAAATTGTGACAGTCTGGTAAGGATTTTATTTCTGACAAATATTTAAGAACTACAACTATTTAATTCTTTGATTCATTTTTTTAGTAGCTTGGCTTCAGTACAACAGAACTAGCACCAAAGGAATATGGTACTTTACCTCTCTATTTAGAGCAACTAGAAAGTAAAGAGTGCAAAGAATGGAGTTAGAATTGTGTTCATTATTAACAGCCAATACTTTAATATTCAGTTTTGTTTTATTTTTTGTTAACAAGTACCCTGCTCTCCACTAGGTGGTATAATTTGCTGCCTGACAATAGTGACATTTATTCATTTACAAAAAAAATTGTATCTGAAAAATCAGAGTGCAAGAAGAAAACTAATCATATAGAATGAGCAACTGTTAATTGGAACATTTAGGTGGAAAATAGATAATTTATTATCAGTTCCTCTAAATACGATCACTTGTGCAGATTGTTTTAGTCCTTAGGAGTTACTTGTTATACCTTGTCTTTTTTATCCAAAACAGCAAAGGGAGCTTACAAGGGAACACACGTAGTTTCCCTATGAAAAAACCATGCCATTTCCTGACTTAAGTATAATGCCTACAAAGTCACTTAAACTGCAGAAATTAAGTTATATACCTGCCAGCAGATTTAACATGTGGCTGGCAGCAAGAGCTGTTTTGATACATTAGGTACATTTAGCTCCCCTTCCAGCTTCAAAGTATTTGATTTCATGAAGGCTTTCACAGCCTGTAACACAAAAAACATATTCGCCTAAGTTTCGATTCTATATTTAGCTATCTGCTTTTTGTCCTTTTAGTTACTTGATACACTTGAGTCTATTGATTCAATGTCTGCAGTTAGTACCACTACTTATTTGGCAAGGTCTTCTGCAGAGTAAGTTTAAAAACCCACCATCATTACCCACTTTGCCTGATCTACTTTCAATAAAGAGAAAGAGACTTGGCAGTATGGGAAAGAAAAGAAAGCATGAGATTGAACAAAGTATTTTTTTGAAGCTCCCAAGATATATAGCAGGGACTAAAAAAAAAAAAAAAAAGGTGGGGAGGGGAAGAGAGAGAGGAAGACAAAGTAGATACCAGTAACTGTTGATCTTCAAGAGTTGGTTCTGTATAATTGTACCTGGAGCTTCAGAACTGCCTTAAAAATCTATGCTCATTTCAGAAGCATATGAATTCTCACAAAAAATCAGTATCATTGCCCCATGCTAATGGACTACACATCCCAATCATCTGTTTCTCTTCTCCAACCAGAGTCCTAGGGCATCTTTACATGTACTCCACAGTTGGGTGGGGGGAAAAGGGACCGTTTTAAACAGGAATCCATAGTGTTAAAAACATTCTCTCAGGAGCCATTCTAATTAAATTGTCTGCAGCATCTTGTGTATTCAGTGTACTACACCTCAAAATGGTGGAGGGGGCACTTTAACTAAAGCTCGTTCAATAAGCTTTAGTTAAAGCACTCCCTCTGTCAGTTTGAAATGTAGTGACACGGAATACACGAGATGCCCAAGCTGCTGGAGCATTATAATTGGAACACTCCAGCAGACTTGATTAATCGAGTCTGCTTAATCTGCTTGATCAAGCAGACTCAATTAATTGAGTCTGCTCCGACGTGTTCTAATTAGAATGCATTGGAGCAGGTGTTGGGCACATGTATAGCTGCCCCCACTTTTACATAGAACTCTGTAGTAGAAGGGAAGCTAGACAGCAAGTACAAAAGTGATTGTCAATGACCAACAGTTACTAGTTAGGTAACCTCTTTTGACACTGGTGTGCTCTGTGCATTTCTGCTAACAGACCATTAGGAAACACTGTTCTACCAGGTGAGTTGAGGGGAGCTTTAAATGGGGACTACACCATTTTCAACTGGGCACTGGAGCATAATGTTAGTCCAGAAAAAGGCGTAAGGTAAAACTATACACCCAACTCCAAGTTGCTGCTCTGCATACCTCCAGCAGGAAAACTTGCCTACAGCACAATTCTGATGCTGTGGGGGCTTTTCTAGTGTCAGTGAGACAAATGAGTAGGCTTTTCAACCAGATAAATCCAGCTTAATCTTCTGCTGTTCCAGCAGTCTTCTATGTTTCAGATCCCATAATGGACCTAGTTAAAGGATGTTTTTACGGGAACTGATGTCCTTTTTCTGGCACAGAAAATATCCTTAGCTAGTCTGAGAAGGCTGTTGCTCCCTGGATGCATTTTTAATATATTATTCAAGGGTTCAGAAGTCTCAGAACACCTGTTGGGAGCTCAAGAGTAGCTGCAGTTCTCCAACAACTTCTGAAAGTGCCCATTATCATCAGGAAGGGAAATAGAGGAAGTTTTTTGGGTTTGTTTTTTTTTTTACTTTCTGGGAAAAATGTCCGAGCCTCACTACTGGATCCTCACTCAGGGATGAAGACAAGCAGCCTGACCATGGCCTGAATTGATGACAAGTAAGTTAATGGGTGACAGTCTGAAGAAGAGGTAGTAGGGATGTTGTTTGAGAGTCTTTGAAGTGCCTGTAGACCAGGGGGTATAAAATAGGGGTGCACTGATAGAGATTTTGGGAGCTGATACTGATAGCTGATTCTTAAGGAGGCATATCAGCCGATACCAATCCGATTTCCGATACGTAGCCCTGCAGCTTGGAGAGTTATGTGCAGCTGGTATGTCTGTTGTGGTGGAAGGGGAGAGGGAAGGGAAGGGGTGTGGGGGGGGCAGATCAAGGCCACTACAGTGAGGGAGGGAGTGGGACTAGGGATGGGGCCATGCCTCATCCAGGGGCTGCGGGGAGGGCGGGGGCAGCTCCTGCTGCTGTGTACAGCCCGGGAAGGCATGGGGTTAGGCATGTGCCCCTGGATCTGTGTGGGAAGAGGTGGGGAGGCTGCCACTGTGGGTTGGGGCCAGCACCAGGCTCTTCCTGGTGGGGGGGTGTGCTGTGCTTGGGGTGGGCAGCAGTGCTGGGAGGGAGGGGCCCCAGCCTGCAGTGGCAGCCCACCCCGCCCACACCCCACGCAGATCCGGGGACACATGTCCCCCCGGGGTGCATGCAGCAGCAGAATCCACCCCCGCCCCTGCACCCCATGGACAAGCTGTGGCTCTGCCCCTGTCCCATCTGGGCAGCCCCAACCCTAGCCGCACTCCCTCCTTCACCGTAGGGGCCTTGATCTGCGTGCATGCACAGGCATTTATTGGCCATATTATCAGCCACATCAGGCCGATTTGCGATACAATTAATTTTCTTTACATCAGTGCCAATCCACTATCAGACTGATGTATCAGTGCACCTCTATTATAAAAGGAGAGAGATCATGGGATTTTTTGTTTTGTTTTGTTTCTACTTATTGTCCTGTTTTATGGGGAGGTGGCTTTTTTCCCCCTGAAATAGGTGTTTGACTGAAGCAGAGATCCCAAAGCAGACATGTTGATGCTGGAGGACAAGTCTGGGGTCATTTCTGCGTAAGGCAGTGGTTCTCAACCCTTTTAACTCAAGGTACCCCCTTGGAAAATGCTAGCTTTTAGTTTTCACTCGTTTTCTGACTACAGAAAAATAATACAGCAATTCTTCTTTTGCAAAGAATTCAGAAAGACCACAAGTCTGAATTTTTTCAACACTATGGATTCCTGTTAGAAATCTCTGGGTTTATCTTGCAAATCATGTTTGCTTACCTAATAGTGCTACCATAGCATTTTCATGTTTGCGCACCTAATAGTGCTAAGATAGCATATGGGATCATGAAAGGATCCCCTTGAAAAGATCTCAAGGTAGCTTTGAGATCCTGCAGCAGGCACCCTGGTTGAGAATCACTGGAGGAGGGACTTTCTGCAGCAACACTAGAACTATTTGGTTTTCAATGCCACCATACATTTAAGCAGCTTTGCAGTGCTTCCTGTAGAGTGCTATGAAAATCTCAGTCTCAAGTCTGTGGGAGAAGACAGCACTGAGGACAGAGCAAAGAGTTCAGATTGGGTTTACTCTACTTGTTATAAAGTTACAAACTTGGTTAAGACAGGTGTAGTCTTGAGAACACAATGGCAGTTCTGATTACCCGAGGTGCAGGAAGGTAGCTCAGCAAGAAGTGAAGTTTGTGTGCACTCCCTTACATAAGGTTCCACTCAGAATATCTCCTCAGTGGATACAGTTTTTAAAGGAAGTTCTCCAGGTTATTGCCAGAATTCTGGATCTCAAGTGGGAATGTCTGGAGGCCCTCACAGAAGTGAATGTCTTTCTCCTAAACCATATAAGTCAAGAAGGGAAAAGCTCCCTAATTCACCTGAAATAAATTTCTTACCCGTTATTTTGGAGGGGAGGATATTGCTTTCCAAGTAAATACATTTGTGTAGAGCACTGAATAGATTCAGTTTGGCTTTGGCTGATTAGCAGAATTAAGAAGCAGCACAACAAAAATAACAACACACTCACAAAATATCAGATGATTTTTAAAATTCTGTACTCCTTAGGTCTGCCCACACACTGAAATCGTCAGAGGTTGGGTGGTCCCAACCTGGAATTACCCAACATGAAAAATTACTCACACACTCTTCTTACTCTATTTAACATGGCTTCATACAGACTGAGGAGTTCTACCTGGATGTTGTTGCAATGTGGGATTACAGGCTTGGTTCATGGCCCTGAGCCAGAAAACCACTGTGGCTCAGCACCTATAAAGTTTTTAAAATCTTCAAGCTACTCTTTATAAAATAGCACTTTTAAAATGTATGTATCAATCATATTTCAGAAAATAAGTATTACATGTGTTGCTGAAAAAGTGATAAGTTCTACATATTACATGCTGGAGGCTTATTTTTATATAGTTTATGGAATGATAGCCTAATCCATTAACTGTGGCATACCATAAAACATATTAAAATCCAACAAATTAAAATAAAAAACAATTACATCCATCATATTTTAAAATTAATACTATCTTAAAATTTTTAATGTGTTCTTTATCACAGCCCCAAATGCTTTACCACCTGTAAAACCAGACCCTATTCCATCAATTAGGTGCCTAAATGTAATCCTAATCTACCAGTGCTGGGAGGGAGGTATGGGGCATGGGGCTGCAGCCACCCCAAAATTCACCATAGCCCACCCATAGCACCCTCTCCCAGTGCCACCGCCACCAGCCCTGAGCGCAGCCCCTCCCCAACCCCCCCCCCAAACACACACTGGGAAGAGCCCAGCACAGCTTTGGCCCCCGCCTGCCGTGGCCGGCCCAGGCCCCAGCCTGCAGTGGCAGCCCACCCCGCCCACACCCCACGCAGATCCGGGGACACATGTCCCCCCGGGGTGCATGCAGCAGCAGAATCCACCCCCGCCCCTGCACCCCATGGACAAGCTGTGGCTCTGCCCCTGTCCCATCTGGGCAGCCCCAACCCTAGCCGCACTCCCTCCTTCACCGTAGGGGCCTTGATCTGCGTGCATGCACAGGCATTTATTGGCCATATTATCAGCCACATCAGGCCGATTTGCGATACAATTAATTTTCTTTACATCAGTGCCAATCCACTATCAGACTGATGTATCAGTGCACCTCTATTATAAAAGGAGAGAGATCATGGGATTTTTTGTTTTGTTTTGTTTCTACTTATTGTCCTGTTTTATGGGGAGGTGGCTTTTTTCCCCCTGAAATAGGTGTTTGACTGAAGCAGAGATCCCAAAGCAGACATGTTGATGCTGGAGGACAAGTCTGGGGTCATTTCTGCGTAAGGCAGTGGTTCTCAACCCTTTTAACTCAAGGTACCCCCTTGGAAAATGCTAGCTTTTAGTTTTCACTCGTTTTCTGACTACAGAAAAATAATACAGCAATTCTTCTTTTGCAAAGAATTCAGAAAGACCACAAGTCTGAATTTTTTCAACACTATGGATTCCTGTTAGAAATCTCTGGGTTTATCTTGCAAATCATGTTTGCTTACCTAATAGTGCTACCATAGCATTTTCATGTTTGCGCACCTAATAGTGCTAAGATAGCATATGGGATCATGAAAGGATCCCCTTGAAAAGATCTCAAGGTAGCTTTGAGATCCTGCAGCAGGCACCCTGGTTGAGAATCACTGGAGGAGGGACTTTCTGCAGCAACACTAGAACTATTTGGTTTTCAATGCCACCATACATTTAAGCAGCTTTGCAGTGCTTCCTGTAGAGTGCTATGAAAATCTCAGTCTCAAGTCTGTGGGAGAAGACAGCACTGAGGACAGAGCAAAGAGTTCAGATTGGGTTTACTCTACTTGTTATAAAGTTACAAACTTGGTTAAGACAGGTGTAGTCTTGAGAACACAATGGCAGTTCTGATTACCCGAGGTGCAGGAAGGTAGCTCAGCAAGAAGTGAAGTTTGTGTGCACTCCCTTACATAAGGTTCCACTCAGAATATCTCCTCAGTGGATACAGTTTTTAAAGGAAGTTCTCCAGGTTATTGCCAGAATTCTGGATCTCAAGTGGGAATGTCTGGAGGCCCTCACAGAAGTGAATGTCTTTCTCCTAAACCATATAAGTCAAGAAGGGAAAAGCTCCCTAATTCACCTGAAATAAATTTCTTACCCGTTATTTTGGAGGGGAGGATATTGCTTTCCAAGTAAATACATTTGTGTAGAGCACTGAATAGATTCAGTTTGGCTTTGGCTGATTAGCAGAATTAAGAAGCAGCACAACAAAAATAACAACACACTCACAAAATATCAGATGATTTTTAAAATTCTGTACTCCTTAGGTCTGCCCACACACTGAAATCGTCAGAGGTTGGGTGGTCCCAACCTGGAATTACCCAACATGAAAAATTACTCACACACTCTTCTTACTCTATTTAACATGGCTTCATACAGACTGAGGAGTTCTACCTGGATGTTGTTGCAATGTGGGATTACAGGCTTGGTTCATGGCCCTGAGCCAGAAAACCACTGTGGCTCAGCACCTATAAAGTTTTTAAAATCTTCAAGCTACTCTTTATAAAATAGCACTTTTAAAATGTATGTATCAATCATATTTCAGAAAATAAGTATTACATGTGTTGCTGAAAAAGTGATAAGTTCTACATATTACATGCTGGAGGCTTATTTTTATATAGTTTATGGAATGATAGCCTAATCCATTAACTGTGGCATACCATAAAACATATTAAAATCCAACAAATTAAAATAAAAAACAATTACATCCATCATATTTTAAAATTAATACTATCTTAAAATTTTTAATGTGTTCTTTATCACAGCCCCAAATGCTTTACCACCTGTAAAACCAGACCCTATTCCATCAATTAGGTGCCTAAATGTAATCCTAATCTACCTTGTTAAATCTTTGAAAAACCATTAACGTGCAATTTTGTGATACTCAAGGCTAAAATTACAGCATAAATCACAAAAGGCTACAAGGAGGAAAAAAACTCACTCATTCAGCTTTGGCATTAATGTTGTTTTGTTTTTTTTTCCAGACAGGAGACCTAGGTGCCTAAAAGATGGAGTAGGATCTGGCGTGCATGTGCACTAATGATTACAACTTCAAATCTTTACCACTGCAATGCACTGGTCTCTGACAGAAATATGGTAGTTATTTTGCAAAAGCAGCACTCATGTGTCTTCAGGGGAGAAACTAAAAAACAGTAATACAGTTAAACTACTAAAGATAACAGTTATGTAGGAAGAGAGTGAAAATGAAAAGGAAAAAAAAACCAATCCTCCCTCCCCCACCCTGCAACTTGTATTTAGTTACTGCGACCAAGTCTTGCAAAATGTCGATGATCATAGTTAGCCATGTCTCATTCAATGGATGGCACTTACAACTGTGGCATCCATAACACCAGGCTGAAGTTTTGCATAATACTGACTAAGAAGAAAAGCTGATTCCATAATGTGACACCTGTTGATTTTCCTAACATTTCTATCCATTGAGGTACTAATCCAATCAGGTCTAGTTATTGCCTTTAATTTGGAGGGAGGTGGAAATATTGGCACAGGTATTCCATAACACTGAATACAGATGTCAACAGTTATATTAGTTATTAATGCTATAATAGCTCTATTCATTCAAATCTGCATTTAAAAATGTGGGGGTAGGGGGTTCTGAAGGCTTTCATATTAGGTCTAGAACAACAAATCATTATAGTATGCTTTATTTCAAATGGGCATGTATTAGCAATAGCGTATGTTTAAAAGAATTAAAAAGTGTATTTTTCCTGCTATTAAGTACCTATCCAAACAAAATATATGTAAGTAAAACTTAGCCATGATTTGAAAAAGAATGATTAAATATTATTGAAAAAAGATTATGGGTCTCTGAGAAAGAGGTGTTTTTGGAAGAAAGAGGGCAAAAGAAGAAATGAGGTGAAAAGACTGTACTTCCATATCATTTGTATTAATAAATCAGAGCAATCTCTCACTGGACCAGCAGCAGAGGAATGCTAGTTTTAATTTGCAGTTCAGAAAAAAAATATCATAAGGTTATATCCTGCTTCAAAGTCATATATTTGCTTGTATCCTATTAGTCTAAATGATCATTTCATCTCAATTTTTGTAGTTCTCACTAATATCTAAGGCTCTGATCCTGCAAGTAGGAGAATTCCAGCATGAGCACAGATACCTAACCAGGATGCCACACAGAATGATTCACAAGAACTGAAGTGAAAGCACCGACCCATCCCATAATCAGCCTGTCACTTAGATACACACACATACAGACGTATATACATATGTATGTGTCTGTTTGCATGCCCATATATACTACATGTACATGCATGAATGCACAGTTTGAAAACATTCAATTGGAGATGAATGGAAACTGTTGTGTATTCTATCCATTTGTACACTATGACTGTCATCATTTTCACAGGCTGAAAAGAGACAAGATACTATAGGAACATTTCAATGAGGTTTTATAAGGCAGGCTGTATACTCAAAGATCCAGGTACATTTCTTGTTTTGTTATATAACAAAACGACCCATGTACAATATTGTGGAGAAGAAAAAAAGATCAAATTTTAAAATCTATACTTTTTTCTTGTTCTTAAATGGAAAAACAAAAGCTACAGGTTTTTCTTAAGAATAAAAGTCTTCTCTGAGAGGTAAATTTTTGGATTCTGGCACTTCCATTTTGAATAAAACATTATTGCAATTTTTAACTGAATACCAGTATGATCAAAGAGAATCCAAGCATATTCCAGCTTTTTATCTTTTCTGATCACAACATGCAAATACATTTTAAGAAACTGTTATAATATGTTTTATACTGAGTTTTCCAGGATACAGAATATACATTTGAAGTATTACTCTGTATTGCATAGAATAGGAAAACTACTGTTAATTTGTTGTATGCCATCTTATTCTGGTGGCATTGAGATGGTATAAAACAACTTATCTAATACAGACAAGGTTCTTTGGCTAGATTTGATGTCTTTTATTAGACCAACTAAATAGTTAGAGAAATTATTCTTTGCAAGCTTTCAGGCACAAACACCCTTCTTCAAGCAATAGAGAGTCTGTTGGTGTTTGTGTGCTCTCCTGGGTAGAATAGATAATAGAAGAGATATTTAGATAATAGAACTTATCTAATACAAGTATTCATTTATTTTGAGAACAGTGCCCATTACTAACCTTTTTGTGTCTCCTTTCTGGACTTTTATCCAGTGCTCTACTTGAGCCAGGTTATTTTTCCTTTGTGCCTGTTTATCTGGGTTGGCTCTGGGAACAAACCCTCTTTTATATGAGCTGGTACCATTCTGCTCCACTGGGCCTGCACTTGTGCTTAATGAACTAGGAAGCGTCCCATTCTTCTCAACTGGCTGAGGCTGAGCTACTTGAGGCCGAGCTATGCTTGCAAAATCTGAAAATGCTGAATCAACTTCTGGTGATGTTACTGGGCGCTTGGCTTTCCCCCTCTTGGCTTCCAAAGTTTCCTTTCTAAAGACATAATATTCCTCATCTTCCCTGTCTTTTCTTATATCTTCATGCTTATCATATCCAAAGGTGTCAGTTGTTTTTTGATAACTCTCCTTCCTATCAGATGTCTCCACTTTTGCATACTCTTTACAGGCATCCACATGGTTTGTTTGAGGACCAGCTTGCTGATCCATTTTTTCTGTTTCTCTAAAAAAGAAAATACACGCTTGAAATGTAAACAACTTTACTGTGAAATCTTAACAGAAAAGTAAGTGCAGGGTTAGCAAACAGGGCCACAATAGATTCTATAGCCTGTAATAGATCTGATACATCATGACTGTATGACCACAGACAGGACTAGGTAATGTTCCTTTGCTCTCCTATCTATCTAAAGATGAGCTCTCAACAAATATCAATGAAGCAGCAAAAATGTTTATATTTAACTATACTAACTATATATTCAACATTTACACTAATTTTTGAAAAATAAATTGAAAATATCAGTAACTGTAAATAATCAATAAACTGTACATAAATGTAACTGTAAGTTTTGTGGGTAGAAAGGGAGCTATCGACATCCTTTCCTTGGAAATATTTTCAAATCATTTATTTGGTAGAAACTTCTTTATTTCAAAGGCATAAAAAGAACTGAGAAGGCTGAGAACCACTGCCCTAGTGTCATGTGGCAATTAGCTTCAGACGAGCAAGATCAGCTGTGAAGCCTTATCTTGTTATACTCATTTGTTAAACCCAAATGCTACTTGGACAGATATACTTTAAAATATCAAAGGCATTGCATAGATATTAACTCTAATTTCTATATAAATGGGATATCAGTTCAAAGATGTTGGGTCACAAAGGTCCATAGGTGTCAGAACTACTTATCACTGAAACACGTCAATAGCCATATCCCAAACAGTGTTTTAGATCTTCCTTTTAAGTGTTGGACACTGGTAATACTGCTAAAATTATCTGTGCAGGAGAAGCAAATCCAGGACCATATTTCTTCATGGAGGTCCCTCATGATCCACCCTGTGCTGTCTTCCAACTTCACTGTGTAGGGATCAGGAGAATGAAGGACAATGGACAGTGTGGTATAGAGCCCCAGAGAAACTTATAACACGGAGATGGGCAATTATTTTGGGCAGAGGGCTGCTTAAGGAGGTTTGGTGAGCTGTCAAGGACTGCATGGGTAGCCCCACCCTTGACGTTTGCCCCACCCCCATCTTGGGACCAGAAGTCCCATCCCTAACCCTTGACCTTTGCCACTGGAAGTCCCTCCACTTGCCCCCCAGAAATACTCCTTTTGGGAAGGGGGGGTTGCCATCCTAGAACCAAAAAAACCCAAATCATACACTAAAATTCAAATGGCTACTAAAACTTATTTTAATTGTATTACAAAAAATATTTTTGTCATGATTTATGTTTGTGTACTGTATATAGAGGTGATTGCATAATAACTCCAAAATAAATTCTTAGTCTTTTATATTGTGTAGGGGAGTGTGGTTGGGTGCGTCTGTATGCATGTGTGTGTGTGTGTACGGAGGGATGTGGGGGTGTATATGGTGGGGGGGTGTGCATGTGTGGTGGGGAGAGAGAAATTTGTGAGGGGGTGTGGCTATGTGTGGGGAGCATAGGGTATGTTGGGGGGTTGTGTGGCATTTGTGGGGTGTGGGTATGTGGCTCTGCAACACACTGGTCTCTGAAATACAATGTCCTCTCCTGCAGTCAATACTGGTGTGTGTGTGGGGGCGGTGGGGAGGGGGCGTTTGTGGGGTGTGAGGGAGGGTGGGAAAGGCGTGGGGACCCCTCCCCCCGCACATTCAACTCATGGTGCAGCAGCAGGTGGGGGTGCTGGTGCCTAGCTCTGGCCAGGACTGCACATCGCAGTGAGGACTGCAGCCCTGCCAGGCTATCTGTATCGCCAGCGCTCCCCGCACTCGCACAATACGGGAGGGAAGCCCTAGGCACTGGAGCCAGCTGCCTTCCCCACCCCAGCCAGCTCCAGTGCCTGGGGATTCTCTTCCATGCCACAGAATTGCCGGGAGCACCGGCAATATAGATAGCTTGGTGGGGTGTATGCTCCTCACCACGATGTGCAGCGCTGGCCAGAGCCAGCCACCAGCACTGAGCACTGGCACCCCCCCTGCTGCTTCCCTTGCTGCCTACCAGGGCTGCACGCCATGGGGGGAAGCGTGGGAGGGGGCCCCACATCCCCCACCCTGCCCGGCCAAGCTCCACACTGCTCCCACCCCTGAGTGTGGGCTCCACACTGCAGCCAGCTCCAGCCCCACACACCACACTTTCACCCATCTGCAGCCCTGCCCCTGCTTCCTTATCTGCTACCCAGAGGGAGCTAGAAGCAGCAGCCCCACCCAGTACTACAGGGGCTGGGTCCTTCTGCTCATGAGGGTGGGAGTGAGGCATAATAGGGTATGTTGAGGATGCAGGCAGAAGGCCTGGGTGAGGCACAATTCATTGAGGGATGCTGTGGGCCGGACGAAAGTGTCTGGCAGGCCAGATCTGACCTGCAGGCTGTATTTTGCCCACCCCTGTTATGACATTTGAACAACTCCAATATCATTGACTGGGAACTGGTACACAACTGTCCCTGGACAGAAGTGTCCACATGTACACTGGGTGCTTCTACATGTGCTATTAATGTGCAGCAATAATCTCCGGGTCGTACTGCACCAGAGCTTATTGTTCCAAGGTGCCACGTTTGAACATGTGCCTGGGACCACAGCTTGTTAAGCCAGGTCAGAGCACCCCTAGCTGGCAGGAGGCCCAGGAAGACAGCCTGCCAGCCCAGGGTTGCTCTGACATGGCTCAATGTGTTGCAGAGGGGCCAGCTGGGACACAAGAGTGCTTCAGTGCAAGGCGAGACACCAGGTAGCCCCAGCATCATAGCACCCTTGTGCCCCAGCCAGCCCCATCAGTGTCTAAAGGTGCATTGCTGCGAAGTAAAAAACTCCGTCACGGGATAGTACTTGTGTTTACAAGTACTATCTACAGCAGAGTTAATTAGTTTATTCTTCCCTAATAGCACTACACATGTAGATGCTAAGACATTTACTGTGGAACTAATTAGGCAACTCCTCAATAAACGTCTCATGGGGGTCCAGCAGGCTGGAGGGGATCGGGGCTCTGCTGGGGCCTGAGGGACAGGTGTGACCCACAAGGGATAGGTAGGGGAGCAGGTGTGACCCAGGTGTGACCCACAGGTGGGGTGGGGGGCAGGTGTGACCCACAAGGGGTAGGGGGAGCAGGTACAACCCACAGGTGGGGTGGAGGGGGCAAGTATAACCTGTGGGTAGGGCGGGGGGAACATGCACAACCCACAAGGGATAAGGGGAACAAGTGCGACCTGTGGGTGGGGTGGAGGGGCAGGTACAACCCACAAAGGGTAGGGGGAGCAGGCACGACCCGTAAGTGGGGTGGGGTAGCAGGTGTGACTTGTGAAGGAGGGGGCAAGCACGACCCATCAGGAGCAGGGGGAGCAGGTACAACCTGCGAGAAGTGTGGGGGCAGGAGTGTGGGAGATTATTGCTGCACCTGCGGGTGGTATGCCCCCCCTCCCCCCAAGTGAAACTACACCCTCATCCCTCCCACCTCTCCCCCAACCAGGGCTTACTTGCTCGGCTCTGCCAGCACCAAATGCTGATAAAAGCAGCTGCACCCAGAACGGCTTGTGAGATGGGGGTTGAAAGCACTGGCTGGGGGGTAAAAAGTAGACTAGTGTGGGGGAAGGGAGCAGTGAAAAGAGCAGCCCTTAGGCTGGGGCCAGTGGCTGAGTTTTCCCAGTCCTGGGGCTGCACAGGGGAAGTAGACAGAAGTTCTATGCACTGGTTTGATACTACATAGACCCAGGTTTATCTTAAACCAGGTTCTGCAATTTTTAAACTGGTTTGTGCGTATGGAATGTCTGTTCTGTTACAGGTTTAGACTGACTGCTGGTCACTGAGACAAGGTCTAAAAGTGTAAGGTTGGCACTGGGACAAGCTAAGTTTAAATCAGGAGTCTATTCTGAACCCAATTTAACCTCCCAAATGTCTGTACTTAGCCTTAGGGATTGCATTGCTGCCAAAATGCCACCAGGGGGTGGTACAGTACCCAGACCATCAAACCTGCAAGGGATCAAAACCTGGAGTTTCCCCAGGATTCCTGTAGAGGGGGAGGAAGACCTTAACTGGGATAAGGGCTGGCATGGAGGAGTTGCCAGGTAGTGGGGGGGGGGATGACTGTGTAACCCCATGTTCATGGCTCCTAAGGGGAAGGGTGCTCTGTTTGCCCCCCAGTAAGACTCCCCAGCTTTTCCAACCCCTGTCCTGGAAAACTGTGTCAATTTCACTTCCCTGATATGGATCCTGGGCTGTGGGGTCCCAGGAACAACTAAGGGGGGAAGAGAAAGGGTTAGAGGGGTTGCCAAGTGTTTCTTGGCCCCTGCTTCTGGACTACCACTGCTGCTCTCCACCTAACCCACAGCCCATGCCTCACTTTCCTGGCATGCCTCACTTTGCACAGTCCATGCCCATACCTGCCTGCACATTACTAAACTCTGTGTGGTGGTACCCAGACAGAGTGACCAGGTATAGCTGTGTGTGGGCAGGGAGAGAGTTGGGAGGGCCTGCTTCTTCATTCTTCAGGATGGTTGCTTTGGGACTTTCCATAGTCTTACACTGAAGCTTTAAAAGGACTTTCTCTAGAAAGCTGCTCAAGTACCTTTCATTGCCAGCAACTGCATAGAGACAGTATGGGCAGGGTGGAACCTACAGGCAGGGCTGCCTGCAAGATTGCAGCATAGAGAAACAATTATTAGTTAATGGACTAATTCACTTCACACTGAGCATGGAAATAATAGCTATTCTGTTCTACTAAGTGCCCATCTTGCAATGGCCCTGCCCGCCCCCTCCGCCCAACAAAGCAATTGACAGGTGTTTACTGTTACAGACAACTCACCCACTACAAGCCAGGGCTACAAAGTCTCCTCCCCTTCCCAGCCACCCCTCCAAACCCAGAATAAACCTAGGACCCCCTAGCAGGATAGTGAAACTGACACAGAGGCTTTCTGCTTCCCCACCCCTGCAAACTGTCTCTATAGGCCATAGATCTTTAGGCAGTAATCCCAGAGCAGCCTCACTGCCCTGCATGTTTGAGGGGGTGAGAAGCGGTGCAGTTTAGAATTCCTGGAAGACTGACTAGACACTAGGCAAGGAATGCTTTGTGTCTGCACATAACACTGAACTGCTTCAAGGAGGACCCACTCAAAAGAGTACCTGATTTTCCCAGTGTACTTTAAAAACATTCCCAGAAGTTTAAACTGATCCACAGCGATGTGTATGTCAACTTTTGGGGTTTAAAATGTATTTCAAATGTTCTAAGCATTACATCTGTCCACTCCACCGAGAGACTAGCCAGTGGATGAAGGAAAGGTCAGGAAATATGACTCTTTCCTGCCAGAGGAGGAAAGTGTATGGTTGGAAGGAGAGAAAGAAGTTGGACAAAATCAATTTAAGTTTGAATTAAACTATAAAATGGCTTCTGCTCTATATCGTGAGCACGCACCTGACTGCCGTGTTACTGACTACTCATCTTTCCTACTACGATCAGACCAATAGACAGTTTTTGAATTCTATGTTTTCCTATTTTTCAAGTGCAAGTTTGAAGGGATTTAAAGTGAACACTTAAATGAAGGCATAACTAATCACATTTTAGGGTTTGTTCACACATATATCTCTGGGTTCTCCAAAAATGCATTTTGATTTAAAGTTACATATGAAAAATGTCAAATATTTTATCCTGGTAGTGGAAAACTGAGAATATCGCTCTAAGCTTGCTTCAAGAGAATAGCTTTAAGAGAATAAAAATCTTGTTCAAGACATGTGATAATCTTAACTACATATTACCCTGAAACATGTCATACTCTCTTCTCTTCATGGCAGGGTGGTTTTTAAATGGAATCTGTCCTACTTTTAGGCTATTTATGTCCTGTCTGAAGCAAAACACGTTTTTTTCTGGACTCAGAAAATATTTTTAATGAGTAGCTCCCCATTTCCATCTCTTTTGAAGTTTATCACCCAGCAATTACCTTTATGTGCATTTCAGAATTTCAAATCTTCAGAGATTAGATCTAGAACCTTAATTATTATTATTCTTTATAATGCAGTCAGCACTTATGCAGCTCCAGCCAATATGCAGGACCCTATTAATTTAGGAACATAATGAAAAAAGCATCTCTCTCAAAGAGCTTGCATACTTGTAAAATGCAGTAAGTCAAGATACTAATTGATCCTAGCTCCCAACAGGAATTCATGCATTAATATTTTTATATATAGAGACTGAAAAACACATTTGTTCTTTTCGGGTTGCTTGGCTTTTACTATCAACTCGCTATAATACAATTTTCAGAAACTGAAAGTAGCAACCCCTCCCCGTTGCACTTCTCTCCAGGAATTTTCTCTATTGTCATAACAATTCTCAGTACAGGGCTTCATCAATTACTTTGTACCCCCAGCTCATCATCAGCAAAATGCATTCATTTATGACCTAGGTTATTTTTAAAATTGGAGTTGCTGTTAAGACATGCACAGATTAAAAAAGTTAAAATGAAAGGATAGTTCGTTTCTTGTTTATAGGAATAGAAACTTATTATTTTGATTTTTGGGACCAAACCCCCCCTCCCTCACACTTATCTACAAAATTAGTGACACAGTGAACTTGCCTCTTTAATGAAAATCTGGTTTGCATCAGGGCAGCTTGATTCATGGCCCGAATCCAGCCATTCATATCCTCTTGGGTGTCTGCACTGAAGTAATATGTGCGCATCCCTGAATGCTCTGCCTGGGAGCCAATAACAGAACTCTTATTATAAATATATGCCCTCATCCCTGTGTGGACAGCCTGCAAACAAAAAGCAAAGACAAATTGGATGGTGCTATTATTTTTTTGCCTGAAAATTTATTACAGTTGCACGCAGTTCTCACAGTATCTTCCTCTATGCAGAGCAGAAAGCCACTGCTGTGTAGCAAATATTGAGTTTAATGGCACCCTTATTTTTTCTTGACCAAAATAATATCCAATTCGTTTCCTTTTTGTATCACTATAATATACTTGCAGCTCTTTGTTCTGTTCTTTTATTCGAGGAATTTCACCTTTTCATTTTCCCCTTAACTTATATCTTTCACTTAATATGAGCACTATACAAAACAAAGTGATGGGTGTGCTGCAAGAATATCTTATGTGAGGCAATTTTCCTAGACTGTTGTAACAACCAATTTGTTTACAAGAAACAAAAGACAGAAGTCTTACAATACAAATAATTTGTAAACTGGCATTTTAGGAATGTTAACATTTTTTGGTTAAAGCATGTAAGCTAAAAATCCACAAAGTTAGCTACAACCAATTTAAGTTAGCAACATGTATCAAATTATCATCCACATACTGCTGTATATAAAAATGTTCTTATAAATAAAAAGCTCCCATGTGTTTTCTCAAAACAAGGACAGTTTTATGTGTAGAAATGGTCTGTAGTCTAGAACTAAACTTTAATATTGTAATCTTTCCATTGTTTTTACATATAGAACTTTATAACCATACTTTCAGTGAATGGGTCTTTCATTTCTCCAGTCTACTTAAATTTAGACACATCTTACCCATACTTGCTAGAACATATGATACATAGATTACAGAAAAAGTCATATTGGATACTCTATCCTAAAACAAAGCTTTAATATTTCTTGCGTGTTACTTCAAAAACAGAATTCAGAAGTAGACAATCAATTCTCTTAACACCAACACATTAGATTGAACAGGAACATAAAGCCATTCAGAGAATCATAAGTGAGGTCAGTAATTTCTAATAATTTTTTCAGTATTACTTAGTCTTTTCAAAAGTCTTTTAACCTGGGAAATTTTGATCTTGTGTGAATTTTCTAATATTTTCTACCATGTAGCATATAGTATAATCTCTTATGTGTTGCATTTTTCTCTCTGTGTTGCATTTGTGGGCACTAGAACCAATTACAAAAATCTATTCAGCTAGAAAGTTCATGCAATGATCATGTTAGTAATTTAAGTGTCCAGTGTTTGGACAAACTGCTACTGGCATCAACACAGAACAGCACGTGTAAAATAAACTGTTTTGTTTCTAATAAATATATATTTTAAATAATAAAACTCATCTAATTAAAAAAACTAAATGGACCCTATATATAATTATTTTGTTTTGTTGAATACTTTTACCTCTTGTTATAGTTGGTTGAAAAATAACCTACCCATTTTAGAAGCCCAGTAACAAGTCTGACAGAATACTATTGCACAATGCTTTCTACATAATTTCAGCTATATATTCCCATGGTCTTGACATGAGACACTTGCCTCAAGAAAATGCAAACTTACTGCAGAGTAAAAGTTTCTATCCAGCATTTCAGCACTAAATATTTTGTAAGCAGACATTTGCCAATGGTCTCGCACTCACCTACAATTCAATGGAGCTCTCTTACTTCCTTACGAGCTTTATGACCTACTTTGTCCTAGTGCAAGTCAGAGTGCCATCAACTTTCTTACTCCTATACCCCATAGCTGAGAGATAAAGGAGGGAGCCCATTCCTGACATTCTGTTGGGACGGTTGACCAGACTACAGTATGACAGACAGCCCAGAAAGAAGAAGGAAATGCATCCTTTGGAAAGCATGGCTAGCAACATCCTTCCACCTCCCATTGCCTAGATAGGGAGGCACAGGCTAGTCTCTCTCTCCTCCTGTCATTTAATTTTAACTTATGCTCTGGCTTTTGCAATGACCTCTTCCCCTGTAGTTGTGGTACAGGAGCCTTTTTTGTACAATGCTGTTGATTTAACCAATTACCTGTTTGGGGATCAGGAAAGAATTTTTGTTATTGGCAAGCTTGCAGGGGCCTGAAAGTTTTTTCACCTTCCTCATACCATTATGGAGGTACAGGTTGCTTGAAAAGGAACAGGATGTAGTGGGAGTAGCAGGGATTGGTCATTATAATCTATGGCCAGCATCCAGTGCAAGTAAAGGCATACAGGTCCAACTCCCAAAGGTAAGAAAGACCTGAGCTTCTGCTGGCAGGCCATGGACTTATAAATGAAGGGGATAGCTGATAAGTCCCTGTGACAAAGAAATTGGAAGGATGAGAGGATTAAAAGTGAAGTGAGTTTTAGGGTTAGGGTATAACCTGTAACCACACATTGGCACTATTTAAATATCTATGTGAGAAATGACAGAGGTAGAGCATGTAGAACTCCTCTCCAGTGCTAGGTTAATAAAGTTGAGGCCTGCTGCTTAAACTCATTCCTGACTGCAATTCACCTGCATGTCCTGATCAATGGTACGAGTCTTTTTCTCCCACAGAAGCCTACTGTCTCTCTCAGGATAGCAGTGTTCACCATGCAACCAGAAAATGCTGCAGGATGTTATATACCTACCAGACTGTACAGTGATAATATGAAAATGCAAAGTGTATGGCACGTTTCTCCCTCCAAATATTGAAGAAATCACATTCACAATATTCCCTGCTTCAGAAAGCTCAAAAAAGGTGTCGTGGTATTATCAACAAACAGGACTCTCTGAACAGCTTTTAACATGTGAAATTGGTTAAAGTAAAATTTAAACACATTGCAGATATCAATTAGTAGCATGCTAAATGTGCAAGGAAAAAAATGTTATGGTAATGACCTAAGGCTGTTAACAGGCACAGAATTTAACAAATATTATTAAGGATAAATACAATACACTAAGCAGCCCAAAACACAACACATCCACATGCACAACAGGGAAAAAAATAATATTGGTACCTATTCATGCATTCAGATGCCTTATGCTGGACAGACTGAGAAGAAAAGGCAGGCTCTCTCCCATAATGCACAGAAGGAGAAATGGAGAGAAAAACCCAAGAGCAAACCCATAAGGACAAGACAAGGACAAAAAGTTGAACAAGTTAAAATACTGATAAGATTCAGATTTTCAAAGAAAATATTTTAAATAAAAAACCTACACTACTGAAGATATGTAATCACTAATGTTAGGTAGCTAAAAGTCACTATTTTCATCTACAGAAATTCTAACTCCTAAGACAGAAAGAGCCACAATTACAAACATGAAATGTGATAATTCCCCCCACAAGTCAAAGGCAGTCACTTAATGAAAATACAGCAGAATAACTCTCCTTACTGTCAGGGGAAAAAGCGTCAAATATAGGATACATTTCTGAAGCAACACTAAATGAATATTCCAATCACTCATCTTAACAGTGAATCAGTTCCAAGTGAATAATGTTACCAGCTGTATGTGAAAAGAAATTACAAGTTTCTTCAGATGCCAGAAGCAGAATGGGGCAGATCTAGAGAGGGTACCATGTCATGCCCACACACTCTTTTCTGACCATGTGGCAGGAGCAGCAGCCAGGGACTTGCAGTCTTTGAGGAAGTTAGACTCCCCACCCCGTTCTTTCCAGGATCAGAGGCATGCCCCTCCCCTCCCATGTCATTCCAGCCTCCCTTGCCTGCTGCTGCTGCTGCTGCCCACTTGTCTTGGGGGACAAAGGAAGTTTCTGTGCTGTATGGGGGCTGGGCTCATTCTGGGACAGCCACACTGGTGGGTGGGTTCCGCCTCCCCTACCACGTGTTTCCCACCAGGCCAGGACCAGGCACAGGGAGTGGGAACCCACTCACCCGCTGCCTCTGTCCTAGACTGAGCCTGGCCTTGGCACAACCCAGCTGGAGTCACTCTGAAGGTTTCTTTGCCCCCAGGACAGCAAGGATAAGTGTTTGTTTGGTGGGATGTGTGTTTGGGCATGTGCTCTGAGCAGCTGGGAGTGCTGCTAGCTGAATGATTGCTGCCCAGCTCCTGCATGTGTCTGATAAAAGCCCTAATATGGGGATGGAGACTCCCTGAGCAAGCGAGCAAACAGAAACAGCAAAGAGGGCAGTTTGCAAGCATTTCCCAGCCTCTCTCTTTGAAGGGGAGCCTTTAAGGTAAGTTCTATCTTTAATTAAGAGTAACTAATCTAGATATTTACTGTAGGTAGCTAAAACTCAGCAGTTAAATCAATATTTAAAACCCTTGTTTAACTAGAGACTAAAGTGAGTGGGGAGTTTCTTAGAGATTTTACCCAGAAACTCTCTCTCATCTTCCTTCAATGTAAGCTTGGTGAGAGGAAGCAGGTTAGCAGGGGAAAGGGAACCTCTCAGGACCATGGAGCACTGAACAGGCTACCTTAGCCTAGAGGGTAGTTTTCTAGAAAAGGTCTGCTTAGAGACAAGGGCAGGAACAGGTAGGTGGTGGATTTAAGAGACCCAGAGAGATGGCTCCAGGATGTCACAATGCCAGAGCCATGGCTACTGCCAGCCCCTCCTCTGCTTGCACCTGTCAAATGTCTGTCCCTGCAGGGTTGTTCACTGTTGAGGCTTCTACCTAGGTCCTGGTTTCATGCTGTGAAGACTGTGGCTTGCAGATTCCTTCCAGTGACAGCCAGGTTCGGGAGTGCCTACAATGTGAACAGTGCCTCTTGGTGGTGTTCCTCAGAGAGCAGGCAAGAGCAAGCAATTGCTACAGGAGAAGGTGGCAAGGCTCTGAAGCATCCTCAGACATGAGAAGTTAATCAATTTGATGTTGGAAGAGACAACTCTAGGACTGCAGAGGAAGCACTGCCAGAAGCAGCACTGGAGAAGGAAGAGGACATGGACTCCCAGGAAGGTGGAAGCTTGTGACCTCTGGAAGCAAGCAGAAGTCTTCATCCCCAGCTGCCTGGAGCACAGATAAGGAGCCCTCGCAACAGAGAAGGAGCATGATCCATCAATGGAACAGGCCAGACCAGGCCTCCCCAAAGTTGAGAGGATTAACACCACTGGCACCAAGAGGAAGTGATAAGTGGAGGTG